GGAGATCCTGCCCCGGCGGCAGCCTGGAACCACTCGGCAGGCATGGTGAGCCCCATCTCCTTCCCGCTCTTCGCCGCATCATCTCCCTTTATCTTTCCCTCCCCCTTTTCTCCCTTTGCTTTTTTCTTTTTTTTTCCCTCTGCTTTGACCCATGTGACCCAGGATTTGGGGAACTGTGAGGCTGGAAAATTGGATAGTTCAGAAAACTGAGAAGCAGGTGGGTTTGGCATGACTTTAAGGTGCTATTACAGAGGGCCGGCCACACAGTGCAGTGGGGCGCTGCACAGAGGATGCGGGCTCCCACTTGGCCAACTAGGGAGTAAGTCCTGGCCCCATTGGCTTGAAAAGCTTGCTGGGTACATTTGTGCCCAGGTTCCTGACTGGAGGATTAGAGGGACGGGATTGTTTTGGCATGACCAGGCCCTGTTGAGGGTGCTTTCTCTCTCTCTTGTGCATGTGTCTTCTGGCGCTTAAGAAAAAATCAAAAAAAGGTGTAGCTGGGGCGTAGCGGCAGTGTGTCCACTGCCGAGATGCCGTCCTTCCCGGTCTGGGACCACATAAGCCCCGGCCTTGTTTCCCCGTCCAGTATGATTATGTGCCTGTAATCCCAGTGACTGCAGAGATGGAGGCAGGAGGATTCTGAGCTCAAGGGCAGACTGGGAAGCAATGGTAGGACCCTAAGAGAAAGAGTCTGGTGGCATGCACCTGTGGTCCTAGAGACTTGGGAGGCTGAGGCAGCCCTTTAAAGAGGAGGAGGTAGTGCTTGGCAGAGTGCATCATGACTTTCCAAAATCCCTTTTCCGATTTGTCTTCTCCATTTTGCCCACGTATATGAAGGCAACATAAAAAGGAAATCTGGCCTCTGTTGTCTTGGTTCACCAGAGCAACCACAGGGGCTCCATGATGGCCTCCGTCATGGAGTGCAGCCAGAGCACAGGAGCCAGCTGCAGCTGGTGGCAAGTGCCAGGTGAAAGAAGGGAGCCTGGAACCCCTTCTGTAGAGAACCGAGCCAGGAGTGGGAAGCCAGCCAGCCCCTGGTGCCTCGGGTAGCAGGTGTGCAGCGTGCTGGCCTATAGGGGAGGAGGAGAGCTGGGGCTTACACTGGCCTGCTTTTAAGCTCTATACCTAGGTGTCACTTTTTTAGCCCCTGACAGCTGTCTAGCCTGTCATATCGTCAATCTGAGGGCAGAGCTGGTTCCGTATGGCCCATTATGGGATAGATAAACCCAGAACTGCCAGCCTTGTTTGAGCATCTGAAGAAGCCCCTGGGAGTGTCTTTTAGCTGTGGAACCTGAGATTATGAAAAACAGCTTGGACCTAGATTCTCTGCTCCCTTTTTAAAAGACAGGTGACTGCATATTAACTTAGAAAGCCCCATAATTCTTTACAGAGTACTTACACTTAACAGAGTACTCTCCTACCCACAGCTCATTCAGTCCCCTGAAGAGCCTTAAGAGAAGATAGTGTCCTCGTGTCTCAGACACAGAAGCGACAATCAGTGCCTTAGCTTAGGTCACCCAAGTGAATGGAAGAACGAAAGATGGATTCCAAGATTCCTGTCTCTAAATCCAGTGCCTTTTCTACCCTGGTGACCCTTTTTTCTTATTTGTACTTTCATTGTTCTTTGATCTGCCTTTTCCTGGGGACTAAGGAGAATTTAAAAAGGCAGAATTCTAGAAGAGTAGGGAGAAAAAGCAGAATTCTACAAGGAATAGGGAGATGAGTATTTAGGCCTGTGACACTGGACATCTGAGAGGAGAGAGAAAGGATGAGGGATAGGCAAGGGACATAAAAGAGAGGAGGCAGGTGGACTTTGTGGTATACTGCCAGAAAAGTCATGGGGTATTCTTGTTTTTCTCTGTAAAAATGCATCATGACTTTTTTGACTACCCAGTAGTTGAGAGGCAGGAAGTAGAAAGGAACTGTCCAACCTTCTCAGTGTACTCTCCTGCCCCTGCCCTACCCAAGGGAGGAGCTCTCACCCCCAGACGTATGTAGCCTGCATGTACAGAACTCGAGCACAGCTGGGCCTGGCCCAGGTGCCCCATACTCCCAGGCTCGCATCCGTTCCGTTACGAGCCTCCTCGTCTACCCTGATGGTGCCTGGAGCCTCGGAGTTCCGAGCCTCCCGATGTCTCAGGAGCTTTGACACTAGCCCGTACTTGGACAACAGTGTATCTTGGCAGCACGCTGTGGTCAGGCTGGACTATCTGCCTCTGCCAGACTGGGAGGAGCCACTAGGGCCAGGGGGAGGATGTCTTGTTCCTCGCTATGCTCTCCTCCACAGCTCACTTTTGTCATTTACTGGCACAGGAGGAAGGTGAAGACTGCACACTCAGTGTCTACAGGCGACTGCACAGCTCCCTGGAACAGTCTGAAATGCCCGTGAAGCAGGGGCTACCAGATGCTGGGCGAGTGCGGGTGGAGGAACGATTACGGCCAGCCAGGCCCTGCGCTGAGGAAAACTGAGCCAGCTGGGCAAGTTCTGCTGTCTCCTCCGCCCTTCCTCTCAGCTCTTCCACGTTCCTGCCCTGTGAAGGATCCAGCGAACTGGACTAGGCACAAGGCCTCGGCTAGGAGACCACGGTAGAGAGCTGGGCTGTAGCTCAGGTAATTTTTGCCAGTTGGCTGGAGGCGGTCAGAAACGACATGCTGGACAGTCTTCCAGTCCCAACCTTCCCTGATGCATGAGTCCTCTCTTCCTGTCACTGTCACCCAGGTAATATAGTCAGCTCTGGCCCCTAATGGGGACAATACAAACCCTCCACATGACAGCAACCAAAAGACCTCTGTTCCTTGGGCTGTTTCCGTATCACAGAGCAGCCCCTTCTGTGTGGTTAATGTCCTGACTTCTCACTCTCCTCTCTGTATCCAGTTCACTCCTTATCTGCTCTGAGGGCCCAAGTCCCCACTGACTCAACAGTCATCAGCTTTATCTGGGGGGCTTCAATCCCTTTCCTCTGGAGTTATCAGACTTTCAAAACAGTAAGATTTGTTCTGCCTTTAAGGGACTACATGAGTACCCTTTAGATTGAAGCTTCTGACCTGGCCCCCTGGCTTACCATTGCTCCGTGGGGGCAAGCATGCAGATACCCACTGGAATGACATCACTGCCCCCCCCCTTCTGCACACCTTCCAAAGGCACCTGGCAGTGCACAAGCTTTATGCACCTCCTTCTCTGGGTACCCGTAATGCTGCTGGCATCGCCTACTCTTCATCCTGTGGCTAGAGACTTCAGGCTGACTTCATCGCTTCCACTTTGGCAAAATCCCTCGATTAAGCTGGGCCTGACCCAGCATACTCTGCCTTCTAGGAAGTGCCCAGCAAAGGGGAAAGCAGACAGGAAGAAGTGACTTCCCTTAACTCACTCCACAAGCAATAGCCCCACGACAGGCATGGACCATGAGAATACTCCCTCCTGTTCTTCCTCCTTCATCCCCCACGAAGGAGGTATCGCACTTTACCAAGCTGATGCATTCCTGCAGAAGGGCCCATACTGTCTCTAAGTCAGCTGTCGTTACGGTGACTTCACTGGAGGAAAGGTGACATCCCCATCGAGGGCCTCAGGCTTACACAGTTCAAACTGCGGCAAACCTTTCAGAAAGCCACACAAAAATACTAGTTACACCGATCACGTGGGGAAGTTAAAAACAACTGTGTACTCTTGGCACTGCTTTTCCTAGAGCATTCTCAATACAAAGGGAATCCCCTTTCAGAGGCTACTTTTATGAAGCGTGTCTTCATATCAGAAGAGAGCATTAGACTAGGAGTCTTGGGACGCTTCATTTTTATTCATGGCTTTATTTCCGTGCTGTATGATTTTGGGTGAGCCATTGTCCTCTTGGAGCCTCCGCTTCCTTACCTGTAGAATGAGTTCTTTGGAGTGGGTGATCGCTAGGGCTCCAAGGCCTTTAGAACCTGGTATTCTAAGGTTCTTGTTTTTACTATCCAGTGTGGAGTGATTCTTGCTTTTGAAAGTGTCATCTACGTGGATTGGGGAACGTGTCTTTCCTCTTGCCCTCAGTTGTTTGTCTGGGCCTTATATGCTGTATTGGGTCATCAGAAGTCATGACACATTTTTGCACAGAAAAATACATTGTGACTTTTCCAGTGACCATTTGCCCCATGTTTTAATCCCATGGGGATGAGTTTAGAGATGTTTCTTAGGTCTCAGTTTTCTAGTCTGTAAAGAGAAGGGATTAGTCCAGATGGTCTCCAAGGCCCTTTGTGGCACCAGCCTTGACCAATGCCACACGGTATCTTTTGGCTTTAGAACACAAGTCTATATGTGTCCGTCCCTGTGCCTCTCCTGTGAAATTCTGCTAAGAGGAGTCAAGGCTCCCTAGAGAGGACTTTCTTCTCTGCCTCCCTCAGCGTGCGAACCAGCATTCCTCCCTCCCTGTCTGCAGTCACTGCAATTCTGAGGTGCCCCAGGGAGCACCTGCTTTACTTTCAGACACACGTGTATCTTGCTCGGATGTCTGTTTTCCGGAGTTTTGTCAATCTAAGGGCATGGCATGTGGCTTGCCTGTGCCCTCCACATCCCCACCTCAGATGTGCAACTTAAGATGCTGTTTCCAAGACTTCCTGCTGCTTCTCCTGGTCACTGGCTCACTCAAGGCTGCAATCACTCCCTCATAGCCTCTCTGCCATTCTTCACTGATCGGCAGTCCCGAGGGTTCCACGGAAATTGACCTCTGTGGTGGTCAATTAGAGCAGAGGAAACTGAGTCAGTGGCTCTTCTCTGCTGATGGAAACAAGGACGCCAAGTCATGCCTAAAAAGATCTCGCCAATAATTCTCATCTTCAGATTTTGGAGCCTTGGATTCTGGTGCTGTAGCTCCTGGTGCCAAAGTCTGGACCTTTCCACATCTCAGCAGCACCGAGATCTGCTATCAGAATGCTCTGTGGAAGAGCCACAGCTGTGGGGCCCTTCACTAGGGCTGCCATCTTGAAATATGAGTGCAATAAGGTTTGATTGTAACAATTATTTCAGGATATTTTGTTTCTTTAATCTGTACACTTTCTAAAACCGCTGTAAAAGAAATTTTATTTTTAAATGTCCTCAGCATTGCAGAAAAAAACATTGTAATAACAAATGAAGGCTGGAGGCACTGTTCCTCTGGACTTCAAAATGCTGGCAAGGCTGGCTCTCAGGCTGGCTTTTAAAGGTCCAAAGTTAAAAGGCATGGTTCTGCAAAGCAACCAAGGTGTGACTGGACCTAAGCCTAACAATCAGAGATCTAGAGGGAGCCTCTGAGTTAAGGGGATACCCGGTTGTTGAATAGTTGTCTAATGAAGCCAAATATTCCTACTGCCCCAGCCAACAAATGATGACAAGCCACATCGACATTTCACTGGCAGGTATACGAGTGGGAGGGTTTCCGGTGAGGCTGGAGAGCCTGGCACTACAGAGCTGCTGGGCTGGAAGAAGTAGAGATGGCTAAATGCTAGGAGCCAGTCCCTTCCACCTGCTGCTTCCTGTCTCTTGCCACCCTGCTACTGAAATAGCCAGGCCAAGCTGCAGGGTGGTGACAGAGCGGCTGTGGCTGTTGGCTTCTAGTAGCGGTGAGAGTGGAGTCACGGACTCCACATCAGCTGCAGACAAGCTTGCACGTAAGTCATCCTCTATGGGGGGGCGGGGGTGGGGTGCTATAGCATTCTTGGACTTGTCCTGAGGCAGTTTTAAGTTTTAGTTATATTTAGTCAGTGCCAAGTGCTACCCCTTCCCAGAAAAGGAGTAGGGGCCCAGAAGTTCGGTCCCTGGCTGCCTTTGTTGGCGAGGGTTTATTTTTTCCTGTTGTTACTATAACAAGACTGCTTTGGAAGAGCTGCTTTTAGGGAATATCTTTTGAGTACCCCAAGTGGGGAACAGGGTTCTCCTCAAAGCCTCACAGCCAAGATCATAGGAAAGGGGCCCTATTTTCCTGCTGCTTCACAGCTCAGAACATGTACTGAATGGAATGTATTTTTAAGAGAATAAAGTCTATTTTTTTGTATCTTAAAGATTGGGAGGGCTAGGAAGGTAGCTCTCAAATAAACTGTTATTGCATTACAGGCCCCCTTGCTGGGGGTGTCAGCCTGTCAGCCCACACCTACTTGCTCAGGCAGGTGCTTTGGTCTCACCCCTGCTCCTTGGAGTCTAGGTGCAGCAGCTTCTACATTCCTGCCCCAAGCACGGGACCAAGGAGGCCAGGACCTGTCGCTGGAGACCAGGGCACAGCCATGAGCAGCAGCTCAGGGCTCCTGGGTGCATGTGTATAGTTGAAGCTGCCTGTCTGCATGTATCCTCCGGCTCTAACGCTCCCTGCTGGCTCTGCAGCACAGTATGTAACCAATAAAGCTCCCTAGTTTCCACATGCCCGTGTGACTCAGTGATGCGGATTTTGTTGATGTCATCTCCACGACAGCCATTTCTATGCACTGGGTACGGCCAGTACATTTCTCTGTTTTTGAGATAACCTCATCAGTCATTGATGCTCTGGAGTCTGGAAATGCTAGCCACAGCTTGGAAAATGACAAGCCTGGTACCAGTAAACCGAACTAGAGTTAGGTCAGCAGCTGTTTCTGGGCTATGTTTTCAGGCTTGTCTGATACCGCACAGAAAAACCAATCTGTCCCTCAAGCTGCCACTTGAAAACAAACACAAACTTCAAAGCACTGCCCTCAGGACCAGGTGCCCTAAACCACCCCCCTCCCCCCAAGAAGTGATCAATGTCAGTGGTGGAGCTGAGATTCGACCACAGCCTGTGCTCGAGTCCCACCTCTACAGCACAGTTCCCACCACCTGCTCAGATCCTAACGTGTGCAATTTTTCCACTGCTGTCACCTGGCCGAGACTAGGGAAAAGACCCTATTTTTGTCCCTTAAATCCTTCTAAATAAAACCTCATTGAGGATAATTATAAAGAATCAGCTAACGGGGGCCAGCAGTTGGCATAATGGCCATGTCACTGGACTCCCATGTAGTCGACCACAGTTCGAGTCCTGGACCCAGTGGCTTAAACTCACGTCAGGCGCGTGTGCGTGTGTGCCCGAGATCCCAAGAGGAGAATGAAGAACGGATTGCTGCATGGCCATTCCCCATGGGGGGTGATTTCTCGCTTTCTGTCTTTCTGTCTCTGGCGAGTGCACATGAACTATAGCAAAAACCTCTCCAAAAAAAAGAATCAGCTAACAGTAAAACCTGACTTCCATAGCAGATTATTTATATTCACTTGTAACATAAAACTATGTTTACCTCTTGGGAAGGACAGATATTGTTCCCTTTTTGTTACAAAAATATTTTAACCAGGCCAGCTAGCACAGTGGTTAAGCACTGCAGGAGGAGCCCAATTCCACATGGGCAAAAATGGTTCAAATCCTGGCCTCAGTGGCTTGAAAGAACATTCCAGATGTATGTGCATGTGTGCCCCAAATCCTAATGTGATGGAGGAATTGAAGAGAGGGGATCATGGTGTGACCATGCCCCAGTATGGGCAGGGTGGAGGGGCTTTCCGTCTGGTGAGCATCCATGTTCTACACCCCCTCCCCTTTAAAACTTGCCATAGGGTGTGTGTGTGTGTGTGTGTGTGTGTGTGTGTGTGTGTGTTTATGTAAGTGACCATGCCACAATCCCTCTTCCATTCTCTTGGGATCTGGGGCATGCATATGTGTCTGGTGTGTGTGTGTTTTTTCCCCCAGACTACTGGGTCCTGGACTCAAACCACACAGTCGGCCATGTGGCATCCAGCCACCTTAACCACCACGCCATGGTTGGCCCCTTATTTGCCTTCTGGTGATTTTTAAAGTTTTTAACTTTAAAGGGCAAAAAGAACTTTGCAGATATGATTAGGATTTTGAGATGCGAGAAATTATCCTTAAATGCAACCGCAAGTATCTTTAGAAGGGGGAGACGTTAAAATTGGATTATACAAGAGAATGCAACATGATGATGAAGCAGAGACTGGGGTAATTCATTTGTTGGAAGAAGGGGCCACAAGCTAAGGCATATAGCCAGCCTCTAAAATAGGAAAAGGCAAAGACACGGATTCTCCCGAAAGCCTCCACAGTGAACCTAGCTCTGCAGACCCATTTTACTTTGGTCACGCAGAACTTAATGAGAAGGTATTTCTGTTCTTTCAGGTCACTACATTGGTGGTGGTTATATACCAACTCTTACTTAAGCCCTTGAGCTTCTTACGTAGCACTTCCCCAAAACTTAAGCCAAACTTGAACAGAATTGGAAAGCTAACATATTCCCATGGAGAGAATCTGAGGAATAGTCAGAACGGCCTGCTGAAGGCCCAAACTTTGTCTCAAGCCTGATGCTTTGTCTGGAAAATCATCCCAAGTTTTCTAGCATCTGTACTCAGGACGATGACACCTGATCACAGTGAAGACGCCCAGCCCCACTGACCAGGAGGCCCACTGCATCTGACACCCCCAGCAAGTTCATCTTCTGACCTGACAAAACCATTTTCGTCCTTTATATAAGTCCTTAAAAATGAAGAATAAATCCTGAGAAAACATATGTATTACTTTGACAACCAAAATAACACCCCTATCCTGAATACAACTCCAACCCAAAAGGGAAACAAGGGGGAAAAAAAGAGGACTAATTTTATATGAAGTTTTATTCTCGAAGTATAAAAAAACCACCACACACCAGAAGACTAAGATGTTACGTCACGGCACTTGCTTGCCTCAGTCTTCATGAAGACAATTCCCCAGGTAAGGGGACAGGTTCTTCCCTACGCTCCAAGTCACTTAGATGAGGCAAGCCCCTTAGATCTGTTGATCATGGGCCTCGATGCCATGACGGGCGTTTCTCAGTGGAATCAAGTATTGCTATTGGAGAGCTTTGCTTACACAGCAGAAGACACGCACATGGGCCTCCTCTCGTAGACTGCGTCTGTCTCACATGCTTGGGGACTGCTGCGCGGGGACACCCGGAGCTGCCTGGCGAGGCAGGGTGTACATGGCTCCCAAGAACTGGTCCGCAATCCTCCCTGCTTCTCGCAGCCCACTCAGTAGAGCACCATGGACTGTAGCTGGGTAGTTGCGGATTGTATGTTCTCCCGCGAAGAAGAGTCGTGGAATTGGCTATTTCAGGAAAAAAGAGGAAATCAACAGCTGTATAGTAACACCTTATTCCAGTTGTGTTTGACTCACCGAATTCCTGTTGACCTTGAAGGCTGACCTCCCCAGTTACTAGTCCATTATTCTAACAGAAGTCTCCCTTACTAGTGTTTGCCTAGAACGGACAGAAGTAGAACAGGGACAACAAAACTCAGCCCAGCCTCAGTTCTAAGGTGATGCTTATTAGTTGCATCTGTTCTTACTGTTCTTACTGATCAGTTTACTGAACTCAATTCTAGAACTTCCCTTACCTCATGTACCTCAGAACCGCAGAGAGCAGAACGCTTGTTCTTACTCAAGAATACTTTCTCTCGCCTCCCAGTCCAGGGCAGGCCTTATTACTGAGCCACACAGGCTCTGGGCTGTGAAACTGAGCAATCTTCCCGCTCTCTGGAGCAGCGGTCTTATGAGCTACTATAAAATGAAGTGTGATTTAAAATATTTTGTTTTCTAAGGGACCAAGACTGAGTAAGGAAAAAAGTTACTGACTTATACTCTGGATTCTGCGTTTGGCATGTAGGCTGCCCAGACGTAGAAAGCAGACTAACACTGCTCTGTTTTACTCTGCTCCTAGTTATCTGAAAGGGCCCAACGATAAAACCACTAAAAAACCAATGACATCATGTTGTACCCTGAGATCCTGCCTTGTCCCAAATAAACCCAAACAGGGTTTTGCCCGTTTCTCACCTGTGGGGCACCTGGGATCGAAGGGCCAGGAGTGATTGGCTGAGCCATCAAATCATAGTCATTTCCAGATGACCCTGCAGCTACGTAGGAATAGGAGCCCCGGGCCCAGGGATCAGCACGCCAGCGAGACACCACAGTTTCCTTGGGCTGAAGGAAAAACCACGTGCAAAAGTCGTTACTGGACAGTAAGGGACAAACCAGTCACCTGTTAAAGGTGGAAATGCAGTGGCAATTGGGAAGGAGGTGAGGATAAGAGAGAGGGAACAGGTGGAAGAGCTAAGTGATGAATACTGCTGCTTTAAATACACTGACTTTAGGTGGTGGAGGGTAGGGGTCACGTCTCTGACCCACAGGCAGGGGAGAAATGTGAGCCACAGCCTCCTAAAAAGCCCTCCAGTATATGATGTAGAGCGGAGCTCCAAACACTGATAATCAGGGGAAGCTACGAATTTGGACCCTGGTTTAGTCTGAACCTAGACCCCTGCTCACCCACCCACCTACTTACCTGGGGCACTGCACTGCTACCAAAAATCCCTTTGAGAATGGCCAAACATCGGCCAACAATCACGTCATCGCTTATGTTTTCCATGATGCCGGCAGCTTCTCCTGCTACTAGTGCCAACAGTATTGGAGCTGCGGAGACAAAGACAACTCCAGGGTTTTTCTCCAGACCTCTCGGTAACCTTTATCAGGTCCTACCTATTCTTGGTGTTCTGAAATCTGGGGACGAGACACAGCATCATTCACACGCTACAGCAAGTTGTTCCTGTAACAGCAAACTGAACTAAATTCCCAGAAGTCAGCCAAAAAGGAGTTGGCAGACTAGTGAATAAGGCGTGCTTGTAGGCACTTCACGCTTAGATCCTCACAGAATACGGCAGAGTTGCTAGCAAGAGGTAAGTGCCCTGTATTTGGGCATGGAAATCTTAGCCCTGCTGCCTTGGACAGCTCCGTGACAACGGCTACATGCCTTCCAGCTATCCCAGGCCCATCTTGCCTCTAGACACCCACCTGGTGACTGTTTATGCAAGAGACTTATGTGCTAGGCCCAATATGAGATGCTGAGGCTATAAGAGATGCTATGTACTACATCAGAACAGAGAAGCACTCCCACCGATACAGAATCAGGAACTGCGATAAGTTATTAAGAGAGACAGACACAGGGACTTCATGTCGAATCTAGGCGATGGGGGCGTATGTATCTGGAAGGCCTCTCTGAAATCTTGCCAGCTGAAGCCCTGAGGCTGAGTAGAGTAAGCCAGGTTGAAAGGAGAGAAGAAAACACAGCAGCCCAGGCCACAGTACACACAGGCCCCAGGCAGAAAACGCATGGCAGGCCCAGGATTTGACAGCAGCGAGTACGCTGTAGCCTGGGAAGGAGGGGGGTGGTCAAGTGGGGGAGTAGAGATGGCTAGATTATGAAATCTTAGGGCCATGACGAGGAGTCCTTCAGCAATGGAAGCCATCAAAGATCAAAGTAAAAGCAGCAGCAGCAGCAGCAGCAGCTACGGCAATCACCCAGGTGAGGGGAGAGGCGTGGAGGGGAGCTGGGCGGGGAAAGGATGCCAACAAGTTGGAGAGCTAACGTGACGCCAGCACTGACAGGACCCGATGGCCGGCAGGGGAGAAGGCAAGAGCGCTGGGCTGTTGTCAGAACACGTGATGAGGTACAAAGTGCCAAGAACCATGGAGGGACGCCAAGCTGGTTAACTGATGCGTCTGCACTGTCAAGGCCGTGCCCCTCGACGGCCGTGCGTGTCTTACTGTTTTACACCCTTTTCTTTGAATGAGGTAGGGTATAAAATGCTTTTAATTGTACCAAGAGTTCAGAGTAGCCCAGTTACAGGAGAAAATAACAGGAGGCAGGAGTTTGATCTAGCTTTAAGGAAAGTAATTGCAGACTAAGGACAGTCAGATACAAAAGGATGAGAAGGAACATGGGCTTCCCGTCCTGGGATGCCTCCTGGGCCTCTCCCTCCTGGCCGAGCTGACTCCCCTTTCCCCGCACTCTTCCTCAGAATCTGGGACTGCCTGTCACATTATTTCCTGCCTGTTCCGAGGCCACCTGCTTCCTGTGTCCTACTAGGTGGTGAGCTCCTTCAGAGCAGGTTCCTTTTAAATTTTAGAAATAGATTGTTGAGTTAATGAAAAGATAATGAAGGGCATGTAGATTTGAGAAAACGCAGAATACCCCTAATTCTGTACTTCTACATGTATATGAAAAAGATTAAAACTAGAAAGCAGTTACCTTTATAGAGGTTCCAGAAGAGGAAGAGCTCACCCCTGCTGGCCGTTGTACTGCCGACATGTCCGAACAGATTAACACTTGGATCCCAGAATACTCGGTCAAAACACAACACAACCTACCAGAAGGAAGCAGCACGTGAGATGGTGACAGGACCCTGATAACAGGGCCTTAAGCATAGCTGCACTCCACAGGAAGTACTTCCTCAGACTTATTAAAGTCATTTCTCACTGACTTTCAATATAAGCCCAGAAATCCTTATCAAGGTGTTACTTAACGGCGACATTTATGACCCTCTTTTTTTGCCTTAGCTTTGCGAAATGACTCCCATAAGGCTAAGTCCAATATGGATACTTTAATGAATGAATTAGCTGTGGGAAGAGTAAGTGGACAGGCCTCAGAATCTGAGACCGGGTGGTCGGGAGCACAGCCAGGCGCGCACAGCGCAAACCCTCTCCTCATAAGCAGAGGACAGCCAGGCTGGTATCCGCAGTCGGGTCTGCAGAAGAGGGGCCTGGACAGGTTACCTTGTTTAGGTTGCCAAACCCCATCCTCTGGACCGCAGATGTCTTCCACTCAGGCAGAGGTGGCACAAACTGAACGGCTGGGGGCTGCTGCTTCAACACGCCCAGTGGAAGGGTGCAGAGCACGGCGTCGCATTTATAAATAAAGGTTTGACTTGTGGAGCGGGTGTTCACGGCTATCACTTCACACCCTAGAGAGTTGGTGGGAGAAGACCTGATTGGTGACGAGGGCGGTGCGGAATGGTCAGTACGACCGGCCTACAGCGCTCTCCTCCGATTCTGACTGCATGTCCCCGAGATAGGCTCTCGTGCATTTTTCATGCACGGGAACTGAGGTAGAGGTGAAGGAGCTCAGCTAAGGCCACATAGGCAGGAAGTGCCAGCACTGAGACCGCAGAGCCGGCCTTGACCTGTCACCCCTTACCACCTTCCTCTCCTGGTAACACTGGTGACCATCTGGGCTAATGAAAGGACTTACCATTTACCAAAGTTAAGCAGCTAAGACCCAAATCAAGAGTAAGGTGTCCGCCCCCACAGAAACAATGCCTTCCCATGGCGTGTGCTGGCTGCTCGTTAAGCCCACGGGAAGAATGCTGCCAGCAGACAGCCACGCAGCTATGAGGGCTGCAGGCCCAGGTGTGGGCACAACAGTGACACAACTGGACCCGGACCGGAAGGGCCCTGTTGGGGTGCCCCTCTCTCTCTCACAGAAGAGACAGGTAAACAGATAAATAACACAGATATAGGGACTAAAACCATGAAGCATGGCATCTGTGGGAATGCACCTAGTTATGCACTGACCTTAGGAAGGGTATTGGAATTATATTAGTCTTATTTTTCCTGATTTGCACTTTTATAACGTCGACTTACTTGTCTACACTATCTATATATATGTGTGTATATATGTCTGCTATATAGTGGGTCGTCAGAAGAGTCATGACATATTTTTTTGTTTTCCTATCCAAAAATTCATCATGACTTTTTAGATGACTGTATTTACCTGTATCTATATATTTATAATTTATACACACACACACACCCTCAAAATAGATATGAGAGCTCAATACCTGCTCATTTTCTGTGGCTATAAAACCAGGGGAAACAGTAAAACTAGCCTCCCTGGCCCACATACCTACCTGCACAAGGCCGCGATCTCCTCGGTGTGGCCAGTGAGAAGCGACCTCTGAGGGGAAGCTAAATGACAGACTGCCGAGGTCGTTTGTGGTGGTCTCAGTAACTTGAGGAAGGGGCCACCGAGAGAATGACTGACTGACTCTCCACTTGCATGCCAAGCAAGGGCCTCTGGAGAGGGAGGTAACAAGCTAGCTGAAAGTCAAGGCTGCCATTCCAAGGCATGTGGACTATGGGTTCTTGGTGACCCACAGAACTGTACGCTGAAATCTGCAGTCATAATGACAAAACCCCATGGGATTCAGAGGGCAGACATACTAGCTCGAGTACTCCAGGGTGGGGACCAGTTCACCTGAGTATGAAAGGCCAGGATGGATCCAAAGACCAAGATGCAGGTGGTGAAATATGAGGGGTGGGTCTCACTGGAGCCCAGGGGCCCAACTCTTGGTAAGAATGAACATCCATACTTAACACAATGATATCAAAACTCACTGGCTATTACAGTAATACTAAAGTAGTTCTTGCCTAAAACTCCTTAATTTTTCTGGTTTATAAAATGAGAGGTGTAGAATCTCTAGAGACTCTCTAGCTCAATCTCTGTAAATACAAAATTCATGCTTCAGAGTCAGAGATTGTAAGTCATTCCACTGGGAATAGGTCTGATATTCTTGCTACAGTTCATACTTAACAAAATCCAGTTCCCTATTTTAGGGGAGGGTCTCTTACCTCCCCTGTGAAGCAGGTGACGTACCTGAAGCAGTGTAGCGAACCTGTCGCACTGCTGTATTCAGCTTAATATCAAGGCCTTCTGCTAAAGCCACGGGCACGCATGAGTAGCCATTCCTCACTGTCAGGTGGCTGCCAGTAAACTCGAAGTCATCATCCTAAAAAGGAGAGAGAAGCATACATTTCCATGACTAGCACGAAGTTGACCATAACAACAGTGAAAAACACAAGCTTAAGGGACCAGCAGTTAGCATAATGGCTATGTCTCTGGACTCCAGCGTAGTCAACCGTGGTTCGAGTCCCGGACCCAGTGGCTTAAACTCATGCCGGGTGTGTGTGTGTGTGCGTGCCCAAGATCCCGAGAGAAGAATGGAGGAGAAGGGACTGTGGTGTGGCCATCCCCCCTGGGGCTGATTTCCTGCTTTCTGTCTCTCTGTCTCTCTCTGGCAAGTGCACACGCCCTATAGCAAAAAAAAACTCTCAAAAAACCCCAAAAAAAACAACAACAACAACAACAAAAGGACAAAAAAACACAAGCTTATGGAAGGAGTGAACATTGTAAGGCAGAAATTAAACAACAGTCACTACTCATTAATGGCTGCTCACGGAAACGGAAGGAAAAAGAAAAAAACACAAAAATGTCCCCAAATTGTTGGGAGTTTCTTTTGTCCTGAATAGCTACGATACAGGACACTCATGGTCAGCTGTATTGAAGGCATATGTGGCTCTTGCATGCATTGAAGAGTGGTTGGACAGCAGATTCACTATCCTGTAACTGTCACTATCCACTGTCGTTTACCTGAGAGAAGTGCACACGCCCTATAGCAAAAAAAACTCTCAAAAAACCCCAAAAAAACCAACAACAACAACAACAAAAGGACAAAAAAACACAAGCTTATGGAAGGAGTGAACATTGTAAGGCAGAAATTAAACAACAGTCACTACTCATTAATGGCTGCTCACGGAAACGGAAGGAAAAAGAAAAAAACACAAAAATGTCCCCAAATTGTTGGGAGTTTCTTTTGTCCTGAATAGCTACGATACAGGACACTCATGGTCAGCTGTATTGAAGGCATATGTGGCTCTTGCATGCATTGAAGAGTGGTTGGACAGCAGATTCACTATCCTGTAACTGTCACTATCCACTGTCGTTTACCTGAGAGCAAATCAGTTTTCCTTTCCTTTTGGAATTCATGACAGAGCACGTGACAGAAAGAGACGAGCATCTCCAGAGGCCCAGTCACATCACAAGTGCCTCCTCCACTCTTTTAGCCCCTGTGACCTCGGACGCTCAGGCATATGCGTGGCATGTTCCAGGCTGACTGGGCCAGGGATTCGACCCACGAGGAGCTCAACTGTGGTCCAGCTTCTCTTGAGTGCGTGTTCCTGCTGGGCCACGGAACCTGCCCACAATCAATTTTTCTGCCTTTTTTAGGTTTTCACTATACTTTGTAGGTTTTGTGTTAGCTCATTGGAGAGAGACAAGGACTGACAGATGGAGGGCAAGCGAGAAATCAACCTCCCAGGGGGATGAACACAAAATAATCCCTTTTCTTCCAGTGTTCTCAGGATCTGGGGCATGCACACACGTGCACTTAGCATGATTTTCAAGCCGCTGGGTTCAGAACTTGAACTGTGGAGTCAGCTATGTAGGATCCAGTCCCTTAACCACCCTGCTACTTTTGGCCCTTATTTTGATTTTAAATTTGCCATAGGACATGCTCGCTCACTAGACAGAAAGAGAAAGTGAGAAAATACTCCCTGGGGGATTATTTTCAAAGCACAATCTTCTCCCCCACCTTCCTCCTAGGATCTGGGGCACACACACAAACACACACCCCTGGCTCGCAGGCCCAGGACTTGACCTGCTCAGTTGGTCATGTAGGATCCAGCCGCCTTACAGCTGTCCCCCACAATCAGTTTTTATTCTTTAAATTTACAGTTATGGTTGTGAGAGATTTCCACAAAGAAAGTCAATAAACTGATAGTCAATCTAGAATTATAAAGAGTAGCCCGTGAGATAATCCATACTGTAAAGACATCAAGATTTGTTCTGAAAGTTAAGAATCCCCAAAATGAACATAATTCTTTGAATTTACTGACAAATTTTCTATGGAGGAAACTTTTGAAGGCTAGTCATATGTCAAAACATGAAACTCTTGGGAAAAAACATACTCTGCTTAGATAAAAATATTAGGCTGGCTGCAAAAGTCTCACTACTTGGTGACAGACTCATCTCCTTATCAGCTAGAATCTTCTAACACTACTACAAACAGATGCATACTGGAGATTCAAATGATAAATCAATGCCTAGAAGAGTCTAATTCAGTGTAACATGAAAAAACATAAAGGAATTGGGAATTCTGGGAGATTTTTTTTTTAGCACTAACAAGTCCAAATTTGACTGCAATTCAAATACTGGCCATACTAAAGACTCTAAGGGTAGGGCTGGCCTGGCGGCCAACACAAGGCCAACTCATGGTTCACACTCTGGCCCTGATGGCTTGGGAAACATGCCGTGCTCCGGTGTGTGCATGCCTAAAATCCCAACAGGAGAGAGAAATGGAGGGGAATAACTGTAGCAGGACCACTCCCCATCAGGTGGTAACTTATACCCCATCACCACCCTGCAAATGCATGTGCCCTCTGGCAAACTGGAAACAACAAAATATGGATGATCTAAAAATTAAGACAATTTTACTATGAAAATGTATAATGAAGACTAAAATACATAAGTGAAAATGCAGTATTTACTTTTATATAATCTATCTATCTATCTATCTATCTATCTATCTATCTATCTATCTACTTATTAGAGGTTTTTGCTATAAGGTGTGTGCACTTGCCAGAAAGACAGAGACAGAAAGCAAGAAACCACCCCCCAGGGGGAATGGCCACACCGCAGTCCCTTCTCCTCCATTCTCCTCTCGGGATCTTGGGCACGCACGCACATGCGCCCGGCATGAGTTTAAGCTACCGGCTCCGGGACTCAAACCGCGGTTGACTACATGGGAGTCCAGCGACACAGTCATTACACTAACTGCTTTTATTTTTTTTTTAACTTTGCTATAGGGCATGTATGTTCACCAAAGAGACAGAAAAAGAGAAAATGAGAAATAGCTCCCTGTGGGGATGCCCAGCCACAATTCCTCCTCCTCTATTCTCTCAGAATTTTGGGTGCACGTGCACACACACGTGCCCAGTGTGTTTCTCAAAAAACTGCTAGGTCTGGGACTGACCTGGATCCTACCTGCCACGAAGGATCCAGCTACCTTAACCACCATGCTACTGACTGACCCACTTTTATAAAGTCTTTAAATTTGGCCAAAGCCTCAGATTTAGAGATGAGTCCATTCAATGTTGAAGAAGTTCTCTGATTTCTTACTATTTGAAGAGTAAATCACGGGATCGGCAGGTGGAGTAGTGGTTAAGGTGCTGGACTCCCATGTAGTTGACCATGGTTTGAGTCCCGGACCCAGTGGCTTGCAACTCACGCTGGGCACGTGTGCATGTATGCCAAAATCTCAAGAGGAGAATGGAAGAAGAGACTGCAGTGTGGCCATCCCCCTGGGGGGTGACTTCTCACTGTATGTCTCAATCTGTTTCTCCGGTGCATACACATACCCTATAGCAAAAATCTCTCTCCAAAAGAAAAAACAAGTAAATCACAATTAAAACAAACTTAATAAAAGATGAGTAAGCCCTATAGAAGGAGCACTGTAGTTACTGAATGTATAAAAAATTAAAATTTTTTTAAAAAAGGGGGGGGACTGGGTATAAAGCAAAAAAAAAAAAAAAAAAGGAAGAAGAAAGAGGAGCACTATAAAACACTGCTGAAAAAAATTAGAGCAAGCCTAAATAAATGAAGAGGTATATAATATTCAACAATTAGTAGAATCAGTTAGTTAGGATTATAATTCAGAGCCAGCCCCATAGTTAAGGAAGATAGATGCCACACAGCTGATCCAGTAAGTTTGAATCCCTGGCAGCTTGAAAAACACACCACGTGCATGTACATCGGAGTCCAAGTCCTGATGGGATGGAGAAGATGGGACTGCAGTGTGACAATGCCCCACGGAGGGGTACTTTCTCCCTTGTTCTCTCTAATCGCTAGTGAGAGCACATGCCCTCTGGCAATTAAGAAAAAAGATGGTAATTCACCCTAAATTACTGAGTGATTCAATGCACTCCTAATCAAAACCCCAGAGGGTATTTTTTTTGTAGAAACTGATATCCTACTTCTAAAATTTTTATGAAAATCAGACCTAAAATAGCCAAAATGATTGGAGAACTTACAGTTCCTGGTTTCAAGGTTACTCTAACGTAGCGGTTATTAAGACTGTGATCCTGGCGTCTGGACAGAAACGAGCAGGAAAGAGCAACCATAACAGACACACTTACACAGCCAACTGAGCAACAAGGTGCCCAGACAGATGAAGAAAAGACGGTGCTGGATTAATTAGATAATCATTGGGAAAAATATAAACCCTAAAAGCCAGCAGGTGGTATAGTGGTCAAGGCTCTACATACCCATTTGGTTGACCACGGTTCAAGTCCTGGACCTGGCACCTTGAAACTCATGCAGGGCGTGTGTGTGTATGTGTGCATGCCCACAATCTCAAGAAGACACTGGATAAGGGACTGTAGCATGGCCATCCCCCCCAGGGAGGATGGAGAGAATTTCTTGCTTTCTGTCTCCGTCTCTCTGGGAAGAGCATGTGCCCTAAAGTAAAAATTTCTCTCAAAAAAAAAAAATATATATATAAAAAGTCTAAAAGTTTATAAACAATACTTCATAATATTAAAGACTTTTGCTCTCTGAAAGATATTACTTAGAAAAGGAAAAGGCAAGTCAAACTAGCAAAAAATATCTGTAAAACATCTGACAAAGGTCTTCTGTCCCAGAATTAAAGGAGCATAATAAACTTTTAGAATTCAACAAGAAGAGACAATCAGATTTTTTTTTTTTGAGAGGTTTTTGCTATAGTGCACGTGTGCTCTCCAGAAAGAGAGAGAGAGACAGAGAGACAGAAAGTGAGAAATCATCCCCTGAGGCCAGCGGGGATGGCCACGCCACAATCCCTTCTGCTCCATTCTCCTCTTGGGATCTTGGGCACGCATGCACACGCACTTGGCATGAGTTTAAGCCACTGGGTCCGGGACTCAAACCACGATTGACTACACTGGAGTCCAGCGACATAGCCATTATGCTAACTGCTGGTCCCGAGACAATCAGATTTTGTAAATGGACAAAGATCTGAACAAATATTCCTCTGCAGACATGCAAATGGCTGAGGAGCACACGAAGACCAGTCACACGGGAAATGCAGATACCCCGATGTCCCCGACAATTACCAACAGTTCACAAGCTGCCATCACCAGGTGCTGGTGGGGTGTGGAGCAGATAGAACTGTCACACAACGCGGGTAGGAAAGCAATCTAGGAAACAGTTGGGAAGTTTCTCATCAAGTTAAAAACTACTCTTCCCATAAACCCTGCAGTTTCGCTCTTAAGTATTACCTGAGACAAAGACGTGAACATTGAGAGCAGCTTAATTGATAGCCAAGAAAAACGAAAAACAGCCCAGATGTTCTTCACTGAACCAGTGAGTGGATAAACAGTCTGCGGCACATCCATACAACAGAATTCTACTAAATAATAAAAAGGAACAAAGCGGATAGATGCACAACAAAGATGAATCTCAACAGCTTCACGTGAAGTGAATTACGTTGCATACAAAAGGTGATATCCTCTGCATTCCAATTTGTACAGAACAGTAAAACAAGCAAAATGATGATGACAGAGATCAAATCTGTGGGTACTGAGGGCTGGAAGCCAGGAGACTTGGGATTAGTTACAAAGCAGCAGGACAGAACTTTCCAGGGCAATGGAAATGTTATGTTTCTTGACTGAGGTGTTGGTTTATGACTCAGTTTTCCAAATCACCAAACTGTTCACTTAAAACAGGTGACAATCACACTGGGTGCATGCGTGTGTGATCCCGGGAGCAGAATGGAGGAGAGATATGGCATGGCCACATTCTCTCTCAGGCAGGCACACCCCCCCCCCAACATGTGTGCTTTAAAACCTCTTTTAAAAAAAGGAAAAAGAGGGATCAGCAGTTAGTGTAATGGCTATGTTGCTAGACTCCCATGTAGCTGACCACAGTTCGAGACCCGGACCGGGTGGCTTAAACTCACGCCAGGCACATGTACATGTGTGCCCAAGAGTCCGAGAGGAAAATGGAGGAGAAGGGATTGCGGCGTGGCCATCCCCCCAGGGGGTGATTTTTCGCGTTCTGTCTCTCTGCCTCTCTCTGTCTTTCTGGCAAGCGCACACGCCCTATAGCAAAAACCTCTCCAAAAAAAAAAGAAGAAGAAACAAAAATAATAATAAAATTAAACAAATAATTCTTGAAAACACACACACACACACACACAAACAGTTTTTCTTAAGGGTTCTCTGAAAGACACAAGCGACAAAATAAACAAATCTTACCTGATCCCAATGTTTAAGGGAGAGGGTAGAAAGAGGTGTAGCATTAGCAAATTCAAGATTTGCAAAATGCCAATCAAGTATTTGTCTGTCTCTTGAAGAAAGATATACATCACTACAAAACAAGAACATGGGAATACAGGGTATTATTCAGAGACATTACCACTATTCTCTTTTTTGTAAGAAGTATTCATTTATTTAGTTTTATTATTATTTTTAACTTGAGCAGAGAGAGACAGAGAGAAAGGGAAAGTGAGAAAGGAAGCTGCCAGGCCCGGGACTCAAACCGCAGTCCATCCGGTGGGAGTCCAGCATCTCTAACCACCATGCCACCTGCTGGCCCTGACATTACTACTATTCTTGATGAGCTGATGGACATGTCTCGACAACTGTACGGGAACCTAAGTCAGGAATGGTACCTTACACAAAGAAGTGAAAGTCAGAATATAGGATCTTATCCCTTTTATTATAAGTCTCTTTATCTCTGGTGCTTACAACAGTGCCGTATTCACAATATAAAGCGAACTGCACTAGCCTCGTTTGTCTGAAAGGAAGATTTCTTCACACTCAGTCACGTTGCATTATAAAAGCTTATTCACTGTAAAGATTTTTTTTTCAGGGCCAGCATTTGGCATAGTGGTTAAAGTGCTGGACTCTCACATGGCCAACTACAGTTTGATTCCCGGACCTAGCTTGGGAATCATGCCAGGTACATATGCATGCACGTCCAAAATCCCAGGAGAATACAGAAGGAACTGTGTGGTGTGGCTACCCCCCGGCTCTCTGGTGAGCACACACACTCTATGGCAAAGACTTTAAAAAAAAAAAAAAGGCAAACAGTATCTTTATATTTTGAATAAAGCATAAGCTATTTTTTTAAAGAATAATCTTTAAAACTTTATGTATTATTTTTGATTTTCTATAGGGCACATGTGCTCAACAGAGAGAGAGAGAGA